AAAGAAAGGGAAGAGAAGGAGAGAAGGAGAAGGAAAAGAAAGGGAAGGAAAGAAGGAGAAGAAAAAGGGAAGGAAAGGGAGAAGGAAAGGAAAGGGAAGAAAAGGGAAGGAAAGAAGAAGGAAAGGAAAGGGAAGAAAAGGGAAGGAAAGAAGAAGGAAAAGAAAGGGAAGAGAAGGAAAGGAGAAGGAAAAGAAAGGGAAGAGAAGGACAGAAGGAGAAGGAAAAGAGGGAAGGAAAGAAGGAGAAGAAAAAGGGAAGGAAGGGAAAGGGAAGAGAAGGGAACGAAAGAAGGAGAAGGGAAAGGAAGGGAAGAAAGAAAAGAAAGGGATGCTCAGAAGAGGCACCTTCTCTCCCCTTCATGGGCAGCACAGTCGGGGGGGGGGGAGGAGGATGCCCCCGCCGGTGTGTGTGTGTGTGTGTGTGTGTGTGTGTGTGTGTGTAGCAAAGTCCCGCACAAGCTGCTGTGTGCAACAGCTTTGCAGTCCAGCCTAGGACTCCCCCCCCCAGGTGGGACTGAGCCCTGCGCACCTGGGGGGCACAATGGCTTCCCTTTCAGCCTCCCGGCCGGCCCACTCCGGAGACCCCGCTGGGAGGGGGGAGGGGGCTGGGGGCTCTCTAAACAAGCAGCGGCTGCTGGCAGCCGGTTGCACCTCCCGGCCGGCCCCTTTGCCCGCAGACGCATAAAGGTGCTTTGTACCGGCCTGGGCGGGTGGGGGGGGCAGGGGCGACGCCTGTCTGGGTGGCATGAATGTGCCCTCTCAGGCCGAGTTCCTTTCGCGGCCCCGTGCGAGGGGGGGGCGGCGGTGGGCGGCCGGCCGAGCCAGGAAGCTCTGGGCGTGGCGGGCTTGTGGGAATGATTTCATTGGAAAGGCCTGCAGTATTTTTCCCTCTTGCCCGGGCTTGGAGGAGGCTGGCCGTGCGGCTGCGGTGGGGCTCCTGGCCTCAGCCAGCCCGGGCCAGAGGCGCTCCCACTGCTGCCCTGAGCAGGCACACGCCAGATGCCGCGCAGCTCCCTCCTCGGGCCAAGTGGGCCCAGCGGGCAGCGCCAGGGGTGCGAGAGGAGCCACCGGCAGCTGCCTCTGAGCCTGACCCGCCGGGCCCTGGCTTTGCTCCTTCCAGTCCTCCGGCACGGCTGCGGACAATGACCCCTTGGGCCCGCTTCCTTCTGGCTGGGGTAAGTACTCCGAACTCCCTGGCAGCCAGCTCCGGGCTCTGGATTCAAATCCTGCCTACTTCCTTGTCTCCTGCTAGGAGGGGCCTCTCTTGGAGTTCCTGCGCTCAGCCGTGTGGGGCAAGGTGGGGAGGGGGAAACTCTGTCTCTGAGGAGCCCAGCTGCCCGGGAACCTGGTGGCTGGGAGGGGGGGTTGAAACGGCCTCTTTGGGGCAGCTGTGTGGCCCTGGCAAGCTAGGGGGTCAGGAGCCCACCTGCTCCGGAGTGACCCACACCGTCCTGTGGTAGTGAAGCCTAGTGAGCGCTGGCTTGGAGCTGGACCAGAGTCCAGAAGCTCCCAGTGCGAGTCCTCCCTTGGGCAGCCTAGCGCACCTCACAGGAGGCTAGGGAGGATGGGGAGGCAGCGTTCTGTACACTCCCCGGAGTTGTGCCAAATACAGCTGGGTGGTCAGTAATGCTTTTCTCCTCTGCCCTGCAAGGCTGGAAGGCTTTTGGGGGGGCGGGGTGTGTGTCAGCGTGGGGTGGGGAGGGGGGCTGGGGCAGAGCCGGATGGCAGGACCTTCAGAGCTCTGCCACAACAGCCCCTCAGCAAGACGCCCGGCCTGGCTCCTCGGCCTGAGGGCCCAGCACCCGCTCTGGGGAAGGGAGCCCCCGGCCCGATGGGAAGGGCCTCTCCGCTTGACCTTAGCTGCCCCCCCCGCCTTTCTCTGAGCCGGGGACTGAGCAATGGAGCGCCCCTCCCTGGGCCTGTCCAGTCCTTCGGGGCCCGTCTTACGCAGGTTTGGGCTCTGCACCAGGCCTTGGACTGGCCAGCCCAGGCTGACGGGGGCGCAGAGCAGTGCCTGGAGCCCTTTGGGGCCGGCTTCCCTCCTGGTGGGGCTTCCCAGGGGGCTCCTGCCCGGTTGGCCAGAAGTGCCTCCCCATCGCGCCTTCCCTTGCAGAGAAGCGGCAGGACAACGGGCGAGTGTACTACGTGAACCACAACACCCGCACCACCCAATGGGAAGACCCTCGCACACAGGGGTGGGTAGCCCTCTGGCTCCGCTGGCTGGGGAGCCGGGCTGGGTGCTTCTGCCCCAGGTCCGGCCTGCTCCTGGAGGGGCCATCAGGGGGGAGGAAGGGAAGGCGGCCCATCACCAGCTGGGCCCCCTTCCCTCCCGTGGCCAGGATGATCCAGGAGCCGGCACTGCCCCCTGGCTGGGAGATGAAGTACACGAGCGAGCGGGTGCGGTATTTCGTGGACCACAACACCCGCACCACCACCTTCAAGGACCCCCGACCCGGGTTCGAGTCTGGGTACGTTCCCCCTGCCTTGCGAACTCTGCGGCTCCCCATGGCCTAGCGAAGTGGGGGGGGGGCTCCCTGGAGCTGGAGCTGGTGCAGTGCTCGGGGCCCCTTCACCTCCGTCCTCCCTCTTAGGAGCAAGCAGGGCGGCTCCCCTGGCGCTTATGACCGGAGCTTTCGCTGGAAGTTTCACCAGTTCCGCTTCCTTTGCCACGTGAGTCCCTGGGGGAGGGTCGGCCGGGGAGGGGGCTGGCAGGGCAGCCAGCAGGGTCCTCACCGCCCTCCCTCCCTCCCTCCCTCGCAGTCCAACGCCCTCCCCAGCCACGTCAAGATCAGCGTCTCGCGGCAGACGCTCTTCGAGGACTCCTTCCAGCAGGTGAGGCTCAGCCTTTTTGGGGGGGCGGGGGAGGCCCCCTGTCCACCCCCAGCCCCCTCCGACCCTCTTGGTGGCTCCTCTTTCCAGATCATGAACATGAAGCCCTACGACCTGCGGCGCCGGCTGTACATCATCATGCGTGGAGAGGAGGGCCTGGACTACGGGGGCATTGCCCGGTGAGTGGCCAGGGCACGGTGGGGGTGGGGCGGGGCTGCTGGTCTAACCCCCCCCCCCCCGGAGACTTAATGCAGTCGTGCTGGAAGGTGCGGAAGGAGCCGGGCTGCCACGGACCTCTGCCTGCTGCCATGCGGCCCCCCCCCCGCCCAGCCCTCCCTGCTGGGGCACCTGACAAGTTTCCCGGTGTCCCGCCAGTGGTTTTACCCTATGGTAGGTGACCTGGTGCTGTTCTACCACAGGGTAGAACCACGGACGGGATGCCGGGGCTCTGCACCAAGCGAGGCAGCCAGGGCTGCGGGGGAGAGGTGGGGAGGGGCTGCCGGGTGGGGGAAGGAGCTTCACCGGCCGTTCCTCTCCCCCCAGCGAGTGGTTCTTCCTCCTCTCCCACGAGGTGCTGAACCCCATGTACTGCCTCTTCGAGTACGCCGGCAAGAACAACTACTGCCTGCAGATCAACCCTGCCTCCTCCATCAACCCTGACCACCTCACCTACTTCCGCTTCATTGGCCGCTTCATCGCCATGGTGAGCCAGTCCCTCCCTCCCTCCCGGTCCTGGGGGGCGGGGGAACGAGGCTGCCCGGCTGGCCGGGACTAAAGTCCTGGCATCCGCCCGGCTTCAATGCTTTGGGCAAAGGTGGGTCAGTGGGGTGGGCAGCAGCCTGGCTGGCCCCCTCCCGGGGCAACCTCTTTGCCCAGTTGAAGCGAAAGGGGCCCCCACCTTGGTCGTGTTGGAGCGGGGAAGCCGCCCGAGTCTAGAGCTGCCAACGGAGACAGAATCTGCTGGCACCAATCTGATAAAAGAGGGAGGTTTTTGTGGGCTCAACTGATGCCGACGCTTCTGTGTCGCGGCGAGGGAGCCCCCGGGGCTGTCGCTCAGCGCCCCAGAGATGCCAGAGCGCCATTCAGGGTCTTGGGGACAGGAGTGAGGCTTTGAGGGGTCTCCTTTCTTTGCAGGCACTCTACCACGGCAAGTTTATCGACACGGGCTTCACGCTGCCCTTCTACAAGCGGATGCTGAACAAGCGCCCCACCCTCAAGGATCTGGAGTCCATCGATCCCGAATTCTACAACTCCATCACCTGGATCAAGTCAGTTCTCCCCAGGCCCCTCGAGCGGCCCCCCCAGGGGAGCAGGACCACTCTTTGGGAGGGAGGGAGGCGGGGGGGGTAAAGGGGGTGGATTTCTAGCTGTGGCTAGTTGGGGTCCAGCTTTTTAAAGCCTCCCAGGGGAAGGGCCTGGGAAGGGCGGATGGCCCTGGGCGCCTTCGTGCCTTGCGGAGCCCCCAGTCCAAGCCCGCTGGTGCTTGCAGGGAGAACAGCCTGGAGGAGTGCGCCCTGGAGCTCTACTTCATCCAGGACATGGAGATCCTGGGCAAGGTGACCACCCACGAGCTGAAGGAGGGAGGGGAGAACCTCCGGGTCACTGAGGAGAACAAGGAGGAGTACATCATGTGAGTCGAGCCGCCGGCCTTCCAGGCAGGAAGGGGGCCTGGGCGCTTTGGCCGCGTACTCCTTCAGGGTGGTGGGGGCCCCACCCGAGCGGGGTGGGGGGGGTCGGGAGTCGCTTGGGACACGCGCAGGGCAAAGCAGCCGGGCCAGAGAGTTTGGCCGAGTGCAGCTCCCTCCTGGCAGGCTGCTGACGGACTGGCGGTTCACCCGGGGTGTGGAGGAGCAGACCAAGGCCTTCCTGGACGGCTTCAACGAGGTGGCCCCTCTGGAGTGGCTGCGCTACTTTGACGAGAAGGAGCTGGAGGTGAGCAGGTCGGGACCACGTGGGGCCTCCAGCTCTTTCCTCGCCTGGCTGAGGGAGGGAGGCCACCGATCGGCAGTCAGGATTGGTTTGGGTTTGGGGGCTCCAGGTTTTGGCTCCCGGAAGCTTCGTGGAGCGGTCCTGAGGTTTTCTTGGCAGGCCTCCCAGCAGGCGTCTGTCATTGCCTTCCCCCTGGGGCTGAGAGGGGGTGGCTGGCTTTCCTGGAGTCTGCCTGGCGCTTGAAACGCAGCTCCAAGCCCGTCAGTCAGAGGAGCTCAATCTGCTGCGGATGAGGAGGGCCTTCCACGCTTCCCTTGGAGGGAGGGCCGGTCTTCCCCAAGGCCAGGCGGGCAGAGCCGACGTGCCACGCAAGGAGGCCCATGCAGGCGGTCTGGTTGAATTCCTGGGCAAAGGCACCTGTGGAAACACCTTGGATTCAGGCGTCCTGGGCCTCCTCCGTCAGCGAGGAGTTGCCGTCTCCTTCGGCAGCTCAGCCGGCCTGCTGGGAGCGCTCGGCTCAGGCTGACACAGCCGGATCTCTCGCCGTTTCCTCCCCAGCTGATGCTGTGCGGCATGCAGGAAATCGACCTGAGCGACTGGCAGAAGAACACCATCTACAGGCATTACACCAAGAGCAGCAAGCCGATCCAGTGGTTCTGGCAGGTGAGCAGCCAGAGAGACCCAGAGGCTCTGCAGCCCCTCAGCCCTGCACCCTCTGTCTCTGTGTGTGTGTGTGTGTGTGTGTGTGAGAGAGAGAGAGAGTTCGTATTCCCGGGACTGGTCAAGAGGCCTCCCGTCACCCCTCCCATCTGGTGGCCGCAGGTGGTCAAGGAGATGGACAACGAGAAGCGAGTCCGGCTCCTCCAGTTTGTGACCGGGACCTGCCGCCTGCCTGTCGGAGGATTCACGGAGCTCATTGGTAAGTCTGCCTGCCTCCCACGGAACGGGCGGGGGAGGCGGGGCCCCTTGGGGAGGCCAGGCGTCCTTTTCCTCCACTGCTCCTCTCCATCAGGCAGCAACGGACCCCAGAAGTTCTGCATTGACAAAGTGGGCAAAGAGACCTGGCTGCCCCGAAGCCACACCTGGTGAGTCAGTGTGGCAGGACCCCCACCCCACCACCCCACCCCCCCACCCCCCGAAAGGGAGCCGAGCTGCTCCTGCTAACGGGCCCTTCCCTCCCTCAGCTTCAACCGGCTGGATCTGCCTCCCTACAAGAGCTACGAGCAGCTGAAGGAGAAGCTGCTTTATGCCATCGAGGAGACGGAGGGATTCGGGCAGGAGTGAGGGGAGCCTGGAAGGAGCCCGAGAAGAGCCATCCTGCCTGCCAGGAAGGACGGAATCCTGGGCCGCACAGCACGGAGGGATTGTCTCGGGGACCCCTGTAGAGGAAGGCCCCCCTCCTGCAAGGCTCGGATCCCAGAGCCGCCCCCCCCGCCCCCCCACATCGCACTTCCCTGGCATCCCAGCCTCTATCATGGGCACTTTGGGTCTCGTGCAGGCCCACCTCTCCCCACCTTGGGTCCAGCTGCTCCGGCCAGGGCCTTTCCTCACCCCCAGAGCACTTGAGTCGTCCCCGTCCCCACCCCGCCCCAGACAGCATGCCCAAGCTCCCGCCAGGCTGGCCCCGAGGCCTTCCCTCTCGGCCGCTGAGCTCCTGCCAGTGGCTGCGCTCCAGCTTGGCATGGGAAGATGCGGCTCAGGGCAACCCTCCCCGTTTCCAGATGGGGCCCGGCAACCTTGGCTCCTTTGCAGTCCAGCTCTTGTTGTCTCTGGAGAGCCCAGGCAAGAGGCAGGCCTGGAGCCTGGCCACAGCAGGCCCCGGGAAGCATCCTGGCTTGCCTGTCCCCAAAGGCAGGCAGCACCAGGGACAGTCGACGGCCTTCCTTGTGGCTGATCTGCGTGCGAATGTCTGGATTCCGATGGCCCCAGCCTGAGCTTGTGGCTGGAAAGCTAGAGGGTTACCCAGCAGGGGCCACTCCGGTCCCAGGAAGGGCGGGCTTGTGCATCTTAATGCTCTTGGAGCGGCCCTTGGCCTCCACAGAGGGTGTGTATATGAATGTGTATAAAAACATATATATGTGAATATATAAATGTGTATATAAATGCTCTGGACACCAAGAATTGCAATAGCTTTGGATGGGATCCTCAGTAGTTTTGTACTGCACCATCTGCCTCAGTGATGCCGCCTCTTGTGCAATAAACTATCTGCAGCTGCTCAGGCGTCTCTGTGCTCCAGGTGGGGAGGGGGCTCATTTCCAGGTGAAAAGGAAGGGGGCCTGTGCTCACGGGAGCTCCCTGCCTCTTGGGCCGGCGCAGCGCTCTACTTGTTCATAGGGTGAGCCGCCTCTCATCTGGCTGAATGGCATCGGCCCAAGTGCCAAAGCTCAACTTGTTTCCTCTGGCGGGAAGCGGGGGGGGGGGGGGGTTCTCCCTTACCCAGCAAATGCTTTGGCGGGGGCCCTGTGCCAAGGCAGGCACCTAGGGAGAGCGCCATGGGCCTGGTGAAGCTGCCTGGGTGGTGGGCAGGAGGACCAGGAGCCGTAGGGAGAGAGAGAGGGGCCGAGGGGAGGTCTGTATGCGCTCTGAGGGGGGCGGGGGGCCTGGCCTGGCACAAAGGGCCCTTCTCCCATCCTTGGCTCCAGGTGCGGCCAGGTTTTGCTTGGCCTAAAGCCAAGGGGTTCTGCAAAGGCGGCCGGGGGAACGGAGGGAGGAGGGCTGGCGGGTGAACAGGCTTCTGCTTCCCGCCAACTTCAAAGTGCCCATGGTGATGCGGCCATCTTCCCTGCCCCTGTGCCATGTCATTGGGCAAAAGGGCAGGCACCGGGCTCCTTCGACTGCGTGCCACTTGCCATCCCTCCCGTGGGGGGGAGGAAATTCTTGGGCTGAGCCAATCTGGCGGCTGCCCTTCCTCTAAAGGCAACGGAGTTTCCACTCTCGCAGCTACAGCCAGTTGAGCAGGGAAGCCCCAGGAACACCTCAAGCTCAGCAAGACCCAGGGAAGTGGACCCCCCCCCCCGCCGCCTCTTTGTACAGGGCTGCGGCCTTCTCGCCTGCCCCCACATGGAGGCGGGGCTTGGTCTGAATTGCCAGCACCAACCTGGATTGGTCCCTCTTAGTGATTGGCCAGAAACACAGCCCGTTCTCCAGGGAAGACATGAAAAGGTGGACCCCCAGTTTCAGGTCTTTTGTCCAAGTCAGGATTGGCAGGACAGCAACAGGCTGGGACCGGATCACGCAATGGCAGAGTAGGAAAAACTGGCCCCAAATGGGATGCTCTTTTAAGGGGGCTCCCATGCTTTGCTTTGAGTATACTCAGATAGCGGGAGTGGCCAACACCAGCATTTATTGCTTTGTTCACGTTACCACAAAGCCGAAATTTAGAACAAGCTAAGTTTACAAACTGCAACAGTTCAAAACTAAAACCAACAAACCTGTATGGAACCAGGACATCATCCTTAGGCCAAAATATGGCGCTCTTGTGAATGCGACCGCCAGGGTCCGTTAATCAACGTTTAGAGCTTAGCAAGTTATGTATTTATTTGGGGCCTTCTCATCTGCTGAGCACACCTCGACAGCGGCCCTGACGTTCTCTGAGGAACCGTCTTGCTTTCCTGGCAGCTTCAGTTCTGCTTGTTTTTGATGTAGCTGGAAGAAGGGAACGCAGAGAAAAGCACAACTTCTAGGCGCTCTGCTCAGAACGAAAGACCTGGCAAGACCCCTCCAAGCTTCCCAAATAAGGAAGTGTGAACGGTGCCATGGTGCCTGCTTCCCACAGCAGGTTGTGCAAGAGTTGCCACCTGGTGGTGCAAATCACAAGTACCGAAACCTGGGCTCCAGCTTTTTTAGAATGAGCCTCTTGCTGCTCCTGGAGACAGAAGCAGCCAGAAAGCATCTTCCCTGCCCATGTTTGCCCCCAAAGGAAGCAGAGACCAGAGCCACCCTGCTCAGCTGACCGGATGGCAGCAACCAGGGAACCCTCCGCTTCCTAGCAGGAATGCAGGGGACCGCGCTCCCGCCTGCACAGAAAGCTGGGAGGATGCTCCGGGCACCTCTGCGAGTCAGGCAGGAAGATGCGAACACCACAATGGAGGCTTGAATTCAGCTAGACCCTGGCTTAAAGACAAATCCTCTCCAAACTGCCCTCGGGGGATGATCCCCCTCCACCTGCTCGGCACCCACCACCTCCCAAGGAGACCACTGTGGCACCCAGACCCCAAAGGATCCAGGCTTCTCCTCCCCAGAAGGCAGGAGGAGGGCCCATGAGTATCACATTCTGGCCTGTCCGGCAGCCTCTGCAAGCAGCCATGAACTCATCTGGCTCTTGGTCCCTCCCAAGATACCGACAGGGAAGAACCTGCAGCCAGAACAGCCTGGTGCAATTGAATGCTTTAATTTACAAATAGAAAACCTGGCTGCTGCTATTACTACTTCTTCTCCTTCTTCTCTTCTTTCTTGGCCTCTTGGCCTTTTTCCTTTTCCTTGTCATCTTTCCTCTCCTTCTTACTCTCCTCCTTCTCCTGCCCCTCCTTCTTCTCGGCATCTCTGTTGGCAATCTTGTTGTTGATGAGGTTGTGCAGCGCTACCACCGAACGGATCAGAGAGGCCAGGTAGACCACCACCATCTGGTCGTTGGTCTTCAGGTAAAAGGCCTTAACAAACTCTTGCAGGTTGACATCTGGCAACAGGTTGAAGACATCCTGGAGCTGGTAGATGATCTGGTGGTTGATGGGAAGCTTGCCAACTGCCACTTTTTCTAAGTAGCTCCTGATGTCCAAGAGCTTGGAATTCAGTCCCTTCAAACCGTGGACCTGGTTGGTGATGCGCTGGGAAAGCGTGCCCACCGTGGTGTCCTTAATGTCGCTGGAAGAGGAGGGAGGAGGAGTCAAGTCCTGCCACTGCCACCCTCCAGGGGGCTTATCTCAACCCAGAGGGCGTCCGCTGACCCAGGCTTCCCAAGGGAGAGAGGGACCCACCTCACCTGGCACTTGGTTTTTATTCCCCCCCCTCGCCCGGCTTCTGATGTGGCTGGGAATACAAAGCACAAGCTACAACCTCCCAAATTTTTACCGCAACAAGTGCTCCACACCGACTTCTTCAGCCTCCTCTGCTCCAATTTCACTGGTTACATGCTCAAAAGTCTTGGATGTTGGGGTTCCATCCTTTAGGGCACAAGAGGAGACGCGCACTGTCACGGCCAAGGAATCTGCTTCTGGGCAGGAAGTGAGTCTGGGCAAGCGGTGTGTTTAAAAACCAGGAGCCGTCCGGAACCCAGCCCACAGGGGGGGAGCCCCATGCCTGCTCCTGAAGGGAAGAGCCAGCCCTCTGGGCAGAGGCAGAGGCCTGGGGCAGGGGGCCGTGGGGAGGTCGGGTGACACGAGGAAGGCCCAGACTCACGTCGTGGACCTCTTCCACAGAGATGTAGCCTTCGGTAGGCAGGCCGAGGTCCTTGGGCTTCACGTCGATGATCACCAGCACCTGCGTGGGAGACCCTCATCAGGCCTGTCTCCCCCCCCCCCCCCCCCCCTGAGCCCCCCCCCCCCCCCCCCCCCCCGCGTGCGGGGCCCCGCCCCTCCCCCCCTTACCGAGTTGGAGCAGTAGCGCTTCATGAGTTCGTTGATGGCGATGTCGTTCTTGTGCAGCTTCGGGCCGGTGTGGTACCAGCCGACGATCCGCTCGCGAGCTGGGGGAGAGGGGGCGGGGGAGGTCATCCGGGGCCTCGGAAGGGGACCCGGGCCCGTTCGGGGGGGGGGGGGGGGGGGGGGGGGGGGCCGCACTCACCCGCGAAGCTGTTGGAGACGTCCAGCACCTTCTTCTGCCACGAGCCCAGCAAGACGCCCACCACGCGCTTCTGGTTCCCCACCTTTCCGATCCTGCCGAGACAAGCGGGGAGGAGGCTCAGGCCGCGCCCGTGACTCAGCAGCCCGGCCAGGGCCGGGCGGGCGGGCGAGCGGGCGGGCGGGCTGGCTGGGGGCTCCTCACCGGTTGAAGTGGTCCACCACGCTCAGCAGCACCAGCGGGTGCACCACCACGCGCTCCACGGCCAGCTCCGGCATCGCGGCGGCGGCGGCGGCGGCGGCGTCAACTCCTCTACCTCCCGGCTCTCCGGCTCTGCGGCTCCCGGCGTGCACCGCGGCCGAGTCACGGCGACGTCCGGGGAGGGCTTCATGAGAGCTTCCGGCGGAGGCCGGGCGACGGACGGCTTCAGCAGAACTTCCGCCCTTCCTCCTCGAGCAGAAGAGGCTGCCGGAAAGAGCGCCCCCGAACGGACGCCTGTCGTGCCGGATCCGGCCGGGCGGGGGCGCTTTGACGGCTTCTGCAGAGCCGCTTCTTGATGTGCCGGTGGCCGTTCGCGGATTGCGCAATAGCGTTGATTTTATTTTATGCTCTCTATCGCGTCTTCTTTTATATTCCATTGTTTTCTTTTATTTTCCTTTATGTTTCTTTGTTTCCTTTTTTGGATTTCGTTCTTTTCTTTCCAGCAGGAGGAGCCGCGGGGCCTCCGAGGAAGCTCCGTCCAGCAATCCGCCTAGAAACCATGGAAAGGCTCAAATTAAGGAGCTCAATAAGTAATTTCGAGCATTGATTTCTGGGCCTGTCTTAAGCGCCATTACCAACTACGGATATTTTAAATGCTATTACCTAATAGAAGGCCTGTTTTAAGCACCTTCTATTGATTTTATTACTGCTTTATTTTTCTCCCTTGGTTTAAAATCGTTTTAACTACTCAGTAATCAAGAAGAAGTATATTGTTAGTGAAATACAGTCACTTTCCTAAAACCTTTGACATCATTAACGAGGCAATTGCCGCCGTTCAGCCTCCTGTTGGGACAGCAGAAAAGGGTGTTGGCTCCCCGGCCTCGCCCCCCCCCCGGGGGGGCTCCTAGCAGGGATTCCCCTCCAGGCCTTCATCAATTAATTGGCTAGCAGAGCAGCAGATTTAAGGGGAGGGCAAACTGGGAAACCCGAGGCTGCGGAAGGGCGCCTGGGGCTGGGCACCGGAGGGCGATTTACGCAAGTCATTTCCAGAAAGAAATCCACCCTCTCCTTCAACCGGGTGGGAGAGGCTTAAGTGCTATTGATGGAAAACTTTAATGGCATGGGGAGGGTGTTTCCCAGAGAAAGTGCATTAATTTGTCCAAGCACACTTCATTGGTGGGTCACCTCAGCTGTGAGCCAAGGCGAGGGAAAGGGGATTTTGAAGGCACCCCACCCCCACCCCCACCCCAGAAAATGGAATTGCTTTGGAGTAAGCATGGAGAGAATAAACGGGGGCTTTGGGCACAGGCTGGAAATTAGTGGAAATTTGGGACACTGTGTGAGCCGCCCCCTGGCCCCAGACATGGCTGAGTGATCCAGGGTGCACGCTTAACAAGCAGGCGATTCCAAGGGGTCGTAAGAGCGTTGCCAGGAAGCCCCGTGGGTTAAACCTGTCTGGCCCATAATGAGACCAATTCCCGAGGTGAAGGCGGGTGGGGCAGTGGGGGTTGTTGGTATGGATCCCACTGGAGCAAGCAAAAACAGCTGCTGTGCCCTTCTTTCCAAGAAGGCCCAGCAATGGCCACAGCTGCCTCCAGTAACCTGAGCCTTCGCTCAGCGAAGACTCGGGAGCCCCCAGCAAAGAGCGCACACAGGCCACAGGCTGGCCTCACCCCCCAAGAATATTACAGTCTCATGCCAGACGTCCATTTCTGAATGGAGATTGTGTTTCCCCAGTCGGAGCATGTGCCTTTGCCACTGACAGGCCCTTTTTCGCCCAGTGAGGACTCTAGGAAAAGACAGGTGGCTCCTACAAATCCAGAATGTGGAGTGTCCCTTTAGGACAGCTGGCTTCATGGGGGATGTTGCCCTAGTCGGGAGGGATGCCAGGCTCTGCGGGCGAGGGGCATGCCTGCTTTCAGAAGCCGCCTTGGCTAAGCTTGGGAGCAGCTCAAGCTGTCTAGCTAGCAAGCACAGCGGGGCAGTTTCGGTTCTAGCGGCACAAGGCAAACACTTTGGGTGGTCATCTGAAATCAGATGGATTGTTTATCTCCTCATCTTTTTTTAACATGTCACACTTTCTGCAATTATAGTAATTAAAACTTCTACTGAAAAAAAGGTTTTGCCTGTAATTATTGTACAAACCTTGAGGACTAGTAGATTCTTTAATATGAAGCTTTGTTTGTACCAAGCCAAACTTCAAAAGCTTTCTTATTAACTGTTGTCAGGCCTGTGATTTACAAGGGCAATAACCATCTGGAGGGGACGCATTTATCATAAGAGTGCAGCACACCAGGAGCCATTTTCTGCAGCAGTAAAGCCAAGTGATAAAATGAGTTCTTTTCTTCTCTAACCTTCTTAAGATGTGTGTGTGTGTGTGTGTTTGAGGGGGGCTTTTTGTAGCTATGTTCCTGCAGCTCCCCTCTGCCTGGGAAGATGGATGGCTGATTGAAGGTCTGGGGGAGCAGACTCCCTGAGTGAAACAACCATGCTTCTTCTTTTCTAAATTACCAGGATTATTTATTACCCTACTCTTAATTCTTATTTTATTTGCATGACACCTTTGAGATTGGGTAGGAGAAACTCCTATCTTTCTTTCTTAGGAACACAGATAATGCTGAATTAGGATGCATTTCTACCAAAGGATCAATCTTCCAGTTTGTAATGCAGTGTTGGGAAACAGAAATCAGTTCTTCTGGCATTCATTCCATCCTTGGATAGGCAATGCTAACTTTCATGTGTAACAAAGAGGTAGCACACTGTTGCTTTGCCCCCTAGAGAATCACACTCAGGGCACTATCAATTGATAGTTAAATTAGTGGAATTGTAACTTAATTGGCTCATGGAACCAGTGCAACCAGAACAATCTAGAACTAAACACACTCAAAACCATATAAATGGTGGTAGACTTTAGGATAAACCCTCCCATGCTCCCACCTCTTACAATACTAGACAACACAGTATCAGCACTAGAGACCTTCAAATTTCTAGGTTCTATCATATCTCTAGACCTAACATGGATACCTAACATCAAAAATGTCATCAAAAAAGCACAACAAAGAATGTTCTTTCTGCGCCAACTCAGAAAGCTCAAACTGCCACCTGCACCTCTATAACTGTGTGGTTTGGTTCTGCAACCCAACAAGACAGACACAGATTTCAACGGTTAATTAGAACTTCAGAAAAAACTGGTTACCAACCTGCCTTCAATTGAGGACCTGTATACTGCACAAGTCAAAAAGAGCTGTGAAAATACAGACCCCTCACATCCTGGATATAAACTGTTTCAACTCCTACCCTCAAAATGACACTACAGAGCACTGCACAGCAGAACAATTCGATACAAGGGGAGGTTTTCCCAAATGCCATCACTCTGCTAAACAAATAATTCCCTCAACACTGTCCAACTATTTACTAAGTCTCCACTACTATTACTATTCATCTTCTCATCCTTCCTTTCACCCATTTCCTCCCACTTATGGCTGTATGACTGTAACTCTGTTGCTTGTATCCTTATGATTTTTATTGACTGTTTACTAGTATGATTTGATTTGATCACTTATTGTTTTCTAGTATGATTTGATTGCTTATTTGTACCTTTTGACTACTATTAAGTGGTACCTTATTTGTACCCTTTGACTACTATTAAGTGGTACCTATGATTCTTGATGAATGTATTTTTTTTCTTTTTATGAACACTGAGATCTTCTGCACCAAAGACAAATTCCTTGTGTGTCCAATCACACTTGGCCAATAAAGAATTCTATTCTATTCTATTCTATTCTATTCTATTCTATTCTATTCTATTCTATTCTATTCTATTCTATTCTATTC